GAAATTACTTAAAACTAATTCATCAGCCCATGAGAGTAGTAAGTGCTTATATTGCAAAACAGTAAAAATTTTGACAGCGTTTGGTTTTAAAATCCCAAAATTTCTGGTTTTAGTTCGGCCTTCTTCTTGTTCTGTTCTGAGTATCGCCCCAAAATCAAAGGAGAACACCCTGGCTTATCCATTGGTGATGTTGCAAAGAAACTGGGAGAGATGTGGAACAACACTGCTGCAGATGACAAGCAGCCCTATGAAAAGAAGGCTGCCAAGCTGAAGGAGAAGTACGAAAAGGTAAAGAGCAAGAATGAAAAGGAATGCCAGATGTTGGGTGATTGTACTTGATAACTTGTCTGAATTTCCTGTTTGCAGATCCATTTTTCAAACAGGAAGGACCAATACATGGTTAAAATCGCATATAATGTGACTTGAGCTGATGCTATATGTTTAAGATGTTTTAATTTTACTTCTTTCTATCTCCAACTTTTGGGAGAAATTTGGTAGTTAATTTTGGAGAGGAAGATTTTTAAACGGGTAGGTTAGGCATACAGTATAAAAATAGGTTATGCAAAGTAACTGTAAATGACTGTACTCTATACACAAGTATGTTATGTTCACTTTGAATTTTTAAAAAAGGTAGTTAAATTTCAAGACTGCCAAAGTAATTATAAATAGGATGAAGAAAGGTTGTGGTTTCTATTCCTAAATTGAAATGCTTAAAAACTAAAACTTTTTTTTTAAGTTATTCTGAAAATAATCCACTTCTAGATGTTAATGTAACTGCAGACTTACATCCTATCACACACCCCCGTTGTCTACCATGAATTAGGGTCTGACTGGACCTGTGGAATGCTGTTTTGTGTTCAGAAGGTGGCAGTGTTACCCTTTGATGAGTCTTCTAGTTCTCGTAAACTGGAATTACGATGTGGTGCATAATTGCACCTCAGTGAAGCACAACAATACAAATATTAGACTGCCATCTCGTGACTTGTGGCTTGCTAATTGTTTATTTTTAATTTGGGATGGTGCCGTGGGCCTACTTGTGTGTTTTAGAGACTGAGGTTTTGTCATGTTTCATTATTTATTTTGTCTTCTGTTTTCTCGTTTTGTTTTGGAAGGATATTGCTGCTTACAGAGCTAAAGGAAAACCCGATGCAGCAAAAAAGGGGGTGGTCAAGGCGGAAAAGAGCAAGAAAAAGAAGGAAGAGGAAGATGATGAGGAAGACGAAGAGGATGAAGAGGAGGAGGAAGAAGAGGAAGATGAAGATGAGGAAGAAGATGATGATGATGAATAAGTTGGTTCTAGCGCAGTTTTTTTT